CACCTTTCTGCATTGTGTTGTAATTAGGATTTTAAATTGGGATGGGATAAAATAGTGTGTGCAGAAACATAGGGGCAGAAATTTTATGGTGTCTTTAGGGAAGAGCATTTAATCACCAGTGTTTAAGAGTACCACAGAATTCACTGGGGGTGGCATGAAAATGAACCTTATCTAAACTGGAGGCTATCACAATAGGACTTAATTCTTAGCCCTTTGTATAGAATATTTCTGTTATTTTATTGTTATTGCTTCAGTAGTCCCCTCATTATTTTCCTTTTCTCCCCCCCCCCCCGTATCAGGAATTGAACTCAGGACCTTGCGCTTGCCAGGCAGGCGCGGTGACATTGACCTAAGTCCCTGGGCCCCTCCCTCATCAGTTTTCACCCAGACAATTGAAATAGATTCCTAACTAGTGTCTATAGTTTTTTTTTTTCTTTTTAAAAATCTAATTAGCTGTCACTGTGACACATATAAAATGCAAAACATTGGCCATGTCAGCCTCCCATGCAACTGATCCAACTCATTAGTGGTTTCCCAGTGCCTTAAAAAGTTAGCTTCTAGCTCCTGAGTATGTATGTAACACTTTGAGATTTGATCCCTTTCATCTCCAGTCTGATTTCAAACCTTCTAGCTTTTGCTGCATTAGTGGAAGTCATGTATTAAAGTTACTTTTATACACTATTTGTGCCTCAGCATGGCCCTTCTTCCTGGAATGTTTTCTCTTCCTGATTTGCTACAAAACTAAGTTGCCCCTACTTCCAGGGCTCTATGATGAGACTCATCTCCCTTCTGAAATATGAGAACCACAGCTGAGCTGGGATGTAACTAAAATGTTTACTGATAGCATGACCTTTGAACAGTTAATACTCAGATTATACAAATCAGTATGGCTAAGTACATAAGGAAATCCTACCACCAAATTCATTGGGAATTTGTAGTCAATTTCTCTGCCAACTACTCCTGAAATGTGCTATTTCTTTTCTGCTAGGTCTGTCAGATAAAATCCCTGCCATATGATCATTAGCATCATTAAGGATCAGTTTGTGGGGATTTATTAAGCCTCAGAAAAAGGGATATTTTGTATCAGGAAATGGAAAATTTATTCCTCATTTATTTTTTCTTAAAACCTTTTTAAATTCAAGAATATACATAAACATAAATGTATAAGTTAGAGGTAATAAATGGCAATATTAAATAGAAAGTCTGTGAATAAAAACTGAAAGTTTATAGGGTGCATACGACCTAATTTGGGATTTGAAAGAAGGCTTTTAAAGGAAGTACTGTATGTGCTATTTAAACTGAACTCTGAAAGAAGAGAATAGGTTAGAAGGCACAGCCTGGTGGTAGCAGGGAGTGAGGAACTTGTGAAGCACTGACTGAAATGTCAGTAATGAGGTGAAGTGTGGCATACATGGAACTGAAGAGATGGGAAGGAGCCAAACAGTGTGGAGTTAAATATCATGTTACTGAGGGTTCAGTAGCAAAGTGCTTGCCTAGCACGTGAGGGGCCCTGGTTCTGTCCCCAGCACTGAGGGAAAATTAATGATTTGCCCTTTATTCTGAAAGTTAGAAGCAACAGACCAGGGATTTGTAACACCAGCAATAACAATAGCTAAAGCGTATATAAGACTTCTAAGTGCTTCACGTAAATGGCTGCTTTAATTCTCACAACCCTGTGAGTTAGGCCATTTTTTAATCCTCATGATATACATGAGGAGCCTTCGGGACAGAGAGGTTAAATACCTTGCTCAAGGTCTCACCCACCTGGGAAATGGCGGAGCTGAGCAGCCTAACCCTAGAATACAGTGCTGTGAGTCACTGTGGTGCACTGCCTTTCAACAGCATTTCTAGCTAAGGATTTGTAGCTAAGTTGTATAATTTGTAGTTGAACAGTTAAATGAAAGGATAGCATCTTTGTTGCAGTGTTTCCCCAGATAGCACGACATCTATACTAGTAGATGATATGTGGATGAACATTTTATTGTAGTAACTATTTATTCTGATACAGATTGATGCCTACTTGCTTTTAAAACGTTGTTTTCTGTCCAGAGGTCTAGGAATCATCCTTAGTACTCCTCTCCCCTCATCTCTTATCACCAACTCCTGTCAGTTTTTCCTTCCCAAAGAATTCTGATTTTGTCTGCTTGCTTTTTCTGCCACCACACTGATACCCATCTGTTATAATTTTTGCTGAGATAACTGACATAGCATTGTCACTGTTATCCTTTGCCCTCCCATCTTCATAACATTAGTTTTTAAATTCTTTTTTACTATTTCAACTAGTGCGTATTACACAGATTAGTGGGTTTCATTTTGGAATATTCATACACGCACATAATGTACTTTCATCATTCCTTCTCCCCATTGTACCTCTCCCCTTTTCTTCCTTCTCCAGTTGTCTTCCTCTTCTCTAATAGTCTCTTGTCTCCTCTTCCTCTGCCTCTTCCTCTCTCTTAGATTCCTCATATGAGAGAAACTGTGATAGTTGACTTTCTGAGTCTGCCTTGTTTCACTTAACATAATGGTCTCTAGTTCAATCCATTTTCCTGCAGAGGGCATGATTTCATTCTTCTTTATGGCTGAGTAATACTCCATTGTGTATGAATACATTATATTTATTCAGTTATCTCTTAATGGGTACCTAAGCTGTTTCGATAGCTTAATTATTGTGAATTGCTCTGCAGTAGCCAAGAGTATGGTTGTAACTGGTTCAAAAGATGGCTCTATTTTTAGTATTTTTGAGGATGTGGCATACTGCTTTCCGTAATGGCTGTACTAGCTCACATTCCTGCCTATATGTAAAAGAGGCCCCCTCATCCTTACCAGCACTTATTGTTCTTTTGGTACCAATGTTTATTCACCTCATAAAAGGTTAGAATTTTTAGAGAATTTAGCAAAATAATTTCAAATATTTAGAGATCTTTATGCATAGAATTTGGTGCATAAAGTTTAACCTGACTCCAACTCAGTAGGAATGGATCTGTTACTCCATGTGAAATGATTGCATTGTCTGCCTGTGGCCTGGTTGGGTTTATTCTTCAAGAGAAAAAGTACTATAAATGCATTCCCACATCACTTTAATAATTCAGTAGCTTTCATTAAATTTTCAGAGTTGTACAGCCATCACGATAATCAATTTTAGAACATTTCCATTACTCCCTGTCTTACTTACTTTTCTCATTGCTGAGACAAAATACCCAACACCCAAAGTTGAAGGAGGGAAGATTTATTTAGCTCAGTTTGTAGAGGTTTCAGTTCATAATTGGCTGGCTCCAAGGCAGGGTGGTATGGCAGAGGGGTATCACAGAGGAGAAATAGTCCATGGCAAAGCAGGGCAGGCAGAAAGCAGCAAGCAGTGAGCCAGTGACAAGGGACAGATTCTTTCCTTCCCTTTTATAGTGTTTCTAGGCTACTCACCCTGAGGGCAGGTAGCGCTCACACCCAGGGTGGGACAGCAGAAATCCTACCCAAAACTATGCCAAACCAATCAGTGGACTAATTAGTAATCATACTCTTGATCCCAGGATCACACACTCCATATCCAGCCACTCCCAAAAAGCCTGTCCTGTGGCCATATGAGGCCTTGGGGGGGGGACATCTAAGACGTAAACCACAACCCCCTCCACCCAAGAAACCTAGTGCCTCTATGACATAGGCAACCACTAATTTATTTGTATCTATATATTTGCCTTTTCTGCACTATTCATATAAATGAAATAATTCAACATATTACATCTGGCTTCTTTTACTTTAATATAATTTTTTGAGGTCCATATGCTTTCACCCCTACATCAGTGCATTGTGTCTTTTCATTAATGAATAGTATTCTATTGGGTAGATATATTGAATTTTTATTTCTTTATCAGTTAATGACCATCTAGGTTGTTAAGGTGATAGGAACTTTCACAAACAAGTCTGTGTCTGGGTGTGATTTTATGTCTCTTGGGTACAGTGAAATTGCAGGCTCACCGTGAGTAGTGAGTTCAAGGCTAGTGTGAACTACACAGCCAGACCCTGTCTCAAAAAAGAAAAAAAAAAGTCCGTTATTGGTGGGTTTTCATTTTTTTATTTAAAAAATGTAAACTTGTAGATAAAAGCAAAAATACTGCAGTGAACTGCCAGTATGTCCTAACCATAGTCCATTTAGCACATTTAAGAAATTTAACATTAATACTGTACAACTATATATTTGATACACATCAATTTTGCCTCTTTTTCCCATGTCCTTTGTAGAATTTTCCCTCACTTTATCAGTGAAAGATCATGTACTTGTTATCATTTTTCTTTATTCTCCTTTTATATTGGTTCTTCAGCCTTTCTTTGATTTTTATGACTTTAATATTGTCAAAGTAAACTTTTGTAGAATGCACCTCAATTTGAGTCTGTTTCTTCATACTTTTATTCAGGTTGTACATTTTTGGGCCGGAATAGTATATAATAGATACAAAAGATGCTGTGATATAAAAGTTATAGAAGATGCTGTGTCCTTTTTAGTACATCATATTAAGAGATTTATGGAGCCAGGGATTTAGCTCAGTGCTTCTGCCACCTGCCTTGCAAGCGCGCAAGGTCCTGAGTTCAGTCCCCAGTACCAAAAAAAAAAAAGATTTATGATGTCAGTTTAGTTTCTTGATGATGATGATGATGATGATGATGATGTTAATGTGGATAACTCGTTCATGGTAGTATACTAGGTTTATTTTCTCTAAAGTTACCATTTTTTTTCCTTTGTTAATAAATATCTGTGGGGTGATAACGTTGACACAGTGTAACTTTTTTTTCCCCCACTAAGCTTTCATGTAATAATTTTTGCATCCTTGATGCTACTTAGCTGAGTCAAGTACTATCCTGGTAGTTGCTAACAGTGGATTATTTCAAATTTTTTCAAAAATTTTAGAAGTTTCATATTTTATTGTCCTGAAAGAACTTTATCTGCTAGTCATAATTATAAAATATCTTGGTGTTACCTGCTGTGTCATGGCTTTTTTTATGATTTGTAGGTTCATGTACTGGACTGACTGGGGAGAAGTGCCAAAGATAGAACGTGCTGGAATGGATGGTTCAAGTCGTTTTGTTATAATAAATACTGAAATTTACTGGCCAAATGGACTGACTTTGGATTATGAGGAACGAAAGCTTTATTGGGCAGATGCCAAACTTAATTTCATCCACAAATCAAACCTGGATGGAACAAATAGGTAAGATTGTCATAAAAGTTTTTTTGTTTTTAAATTTTAAGAAAACTTCTTGTTGGCTTCATTATTTAAATTTAAGAAAATTTCATGTTGGCTTTGTATATTAAAGTATATAGCCTAATTTTCTTAAGAAATCAGTGTATTTTTTACTGTCAGAGGGAAAGATGTATAGACATTTACTTTGGTCTTTAAGAAAGTAATTACATTTCTCATCCATCATGGTAGCATCTAGAACTTACAGAATGTATTTTCTCCTTCCAGACTCTGAGCTGACTTAGTTCTCAAGTGGTTCTCAACCCAGGGTTGTATTTTCTGCTCCATCCCAGAGTGTTTGAAAATGTATGGAAAATTTTGGTTAATCCAATGACTGGAGTGCTGGTAACATTTTACAGTAGCCTTTTCTGGAAGATCAAGGGTGCTAGCTGTCTTACAGTGTTGGATATCCAACAGAACAGAGTTGTCCCATTGAAAATTATCAGTACAGCCGTTAAGTATTGCTTATGGAAACTTTCTTGGTAAATCCCTATATTAGGACAGGCCATCTTTGCTTTCTGTGGCTTTAACAATAATACCCGAGACTGGTAATTTATAGAGAAAAGATATTTATTTTGGCTCATTGTTCTGAAGACTGAGAAGTTCAAGATTAGGCAGCCATATCTGGTTAGGAATTTATGTTGCAGTGTAGTATTTAAGAAAAGCAATAGGTCAGAGAAGTAGCAGGAGAGAGAGAGGGATAAGGGGGATAGATGCTTTATAATGAACTGTCCTGGTGATATCTTATCTACTCTGTGAAAGTAGTGTCTCGTATCATTTTTTAACAGCCCCACCCTATTGATACTGTTTAACTGCCTGTTAAATTTCATCATGAGTTGGGTACTAATTATGGCACAAAGTCTATAATTCAGACACATGGAATTTCTTCTCAGGTCATGGTTTGAAGATATTACAGTTAATTCTTGTATTTGATTATGTGGATTATTGTGCTTTCTAGGAGCCTACCAGAGGTGAGTCTCAAGTAGTTGAAGGATTTTTAGACTGTAAACATTTGGAAATTTTCTGAACTTTGAAAAACTTAAAAGAATTTATTTTAAAAAGCTTTTTGTTATCATGAACTTTCTTTTTTTGGGGGGCTTTTTTCAAAAAAGTGAAATGACTTACATTGTGATGGTTTAAAATTAAAAGTGTTTCAAAGCACATACATGATGAATATAAAAACCTAATAGGTGTGCTTCAACTTCAGATTGGGCAGTCTGTCTCCAGTGAACTCTCAAAACAGGGACTCCAGAGTTCTCATACAGGACATGGTACCACACTAAATAAATAGAAACAAAATTGAGTAGGATAGGGAGGAACAAGAGGGGAAGGAGAGAATTTTCACAGAAGGATGAGGACTAGCTAGGAGATCTCAGAAACAAAGCTGTCATACTTTTTAAGTATGATCTGAAAGTTGAGGAAAATTAATGTTACATGGACGTAAGGATCAGGAAAATATCAAGATAAATCGGATTTAAAGTTACCACAAAGAGCTGGGTGCATGCCTGTAATCCTAGCACTCTGGGAGCCTGAGAGAGGAGAATTGTAAATTCAAGCCTAGCTTGAGCAACTTAGTAAGACCCTGTCTCAAAATAAAAATGGACTGGGTGGGGATGTAGCTTTGTGTGGAGGCCCTGTGCTCAATTCCCAGTAAATGGCTGTGGAGGCTGTGTGTGGGGATGGTCATTTATTGGAAAAAGAAAAAAGGAATGAGAAACAGAATCCTTATATACAAAGAACCCCAGAAAAACATGACCACAGAAGAGCTCAGATCTCTGTTTAAAATTGTGCCAAAGTTAGTGAGAGTTAGTGTCACATTATTGACACGTGAAAGAATAACATAAAATTAGAAAAATTTAGAAATGAGATGAGAAAACTCAGGAAAGAATTTTAAATAAAAGAAAAATCATTTCAGGGGAAAAAGCACTAAACTAGGGGACATAAGAGTGGATAAACAAAAGGAATGGCCTTTAAATAAACTTGAAAAGGCAAAAAAAAGGAAATTTATATAAGCTGTTCCTGAAAAAGATCCAATGACAGATCTAATAAACATGTTCAAACAGCTGTCTTAAAGATTCTCCAAGAATTAAAAGAAGGGAGAAAGTCAAAATAATGTGTAAAACAATGGAAATACTGTATCAACAAAAAGATAGGATAACCTAAAAAGAAACCAAGAAGAAATCCTGAGTTGAAAAGTACAACTGAAATGAAAAAATCACTAGATGACTTAAAGGCAAATTTGAGCAAGTGGAAAAATGGATTGGTGAACCTGAAAATAGAACAAGAGAAATTATCAGACTGAAGAGCAGGAAGAAACAAGTGCAGAATCATGAGTAGAGCCCAGTGGGTCGGTGGGACACCATTAGTGGACCAGGATGCTCATTGTATGAGAAGGAAAAGTGTGAAAGAAGTGGGCAGAGAGGATGTTTGAAAATATAGTGGCCAAAACTCCCCAAATTTGACAAAAAGGCATGAATATAAAGAACTCTTATCTCTCTTCCTGGTTCCTCCCTTTGCTTTCGGCTTTCTGACTGCCATGAAGTGAGCTGTTTCTCTTCTGCCATGCTCTTTACCATGCTGTTTCTTCTTTGGAGCTGGCCAACTGTAGACTAATACGTGAGCAGATATAACCTCTCTTCCTTTAAGTTTTGGGTATTGGGTATTGTGTCTCAGTGACAAGGAAAGTGACAAAGATAGCAGTGAACCAGTCTATTCAAAGTGCTAAACAAAGAAACTATATAACTTACAGTACTCCTGTATCCAGCAGATCTTAAAAAACGAGAGAGAATTTAGCATGGTGGCACATGCCTGTAATCTCAGCATTCTGAGAGGCTGAGACAGGAGTATCACGAGTTTGAGTCCAGCCTGGGCGACTTAGCAACATCTTGTCTCAAAATTTAAAAAGGGCGTAAGCTGTGATATGAAAGCCCTGGGCTCAATTCTCACTACTGACTCCTACATAAAAATTACAACTAATAAAAGGGGGGATAAATTGAAACATACTAGATAAACAAAAGCTGAGGGGATTTTTCAAAATAAATTAATCATTTTTCTCCTGGCAAAAGAAACCTTAAGATGTAGTCAAGACTTTAGGGTTTGCTGTATATTACTCCTTTTGAAGAAGCTCAGTAATTAGGGTGTGATATGGCTCTTTGTAGTTGCTGTAATGTAGGCCTTTCCATTTTTTGTTATGAATCAGTATTTCCTTCTCTTCTGCTGAGGGCTCAGCTTTAGTGCTGGCTAATTTTATTAAATTATTAATGGTAAATCTGTTGTTTAGTTGGTTCCTTGTTGTCCCTTAACTATTTTGAAAACAATAATCAGCCAGGCATGGTGACACATGCCTGTAATCTCAGCATCTGGGAAGCTGAGGCAGATGGATCTACCTATCTCAAAATAAAAAAATTAAAAATGGGCTAGGGATGTAGCTCAATGCAAAGGCCTGGGGACAGCCTCTAGTACTGCAACAAAACAAAACAACAGAAATCAGTTTTTCTATTCCTTGATAATTGTGAATTGGTTATATTTGCTTAGATTTATATTTACACATGTATTTGATGTATACAATAAAGGACAAAGATACATTTGGTTTGAAATTTTATAGTAAATATATTGTATGTATCCCTTTCATCAGGGGAAATGTAATTAGTTTGGAAAAAATTAAATATCATAGTTAAATAGTTTTAGGTTCTTTTATGTGTTAACTCTTGTTTCTGCTGTGGATAACTTACTGCCTTGTGCCTGGTGTATCTATAATCGTGAACATCATATAGCTCAGCCTTCTTATACAGAAGGCCCAGTTAGATGTTTGTGGCACTAGTTAAGTCTTCATTCATTTTAATATTGGTTTATTTGTCTTATTGTTGGCTGTAAGAGCTTTTGAGAGAGAGAGAGAGAGAGAGAGAGAGAGAGAGAGAGAGTCGGATGCAAGTTCTTCATTGAATATGTGACCTAGCAGTATTTTCTGTCAATCTGTAGCTTGTGTTTTCATTTTTTAATATTAGTGAATGTTAATATTACATGATGATGGGATTTATTTTGGGAAGTTGACATGCACAGTTAACTATCTTAATCAGTTTCAATTCCTTGCCTCCCTCCTTTTCCTCACCCCTCCCACTTAGCCCCTTCTGCTCACATTTAGAACTATGATTCATTTTTATTTAATTTTTGTGTCTGATGATTCTTACACTTTTATACAATCTAAGTATTGTTTTAAGTGAATGCCATGAAATAACTTCAATTTATATATTAAAATTAACTTTTATGATATAACTTACCGGGGATTGAACTCGTCCTTGTGCTTGTGAGGCAGGCGGGGGAACCACTGAGCTAAATCCCTGGCCCCCAGAATAACTTACTTTTATAAATAGATCTTATATTCCTCAACTTGTTGAATTTATTTTATTAGGTTGGGAGGTTTTTTAGGCTCTTCAGTATAGTCTATATACAGACTCACATAATCTTTGAATATGATAGTTTTACTTCTTTTTCATGTCTGGATGCTTTCTTCTCTTGGTTGATTGCATTGGCTAGAGCCTCAGGTACAGTGCTTCCTGAGGTCAGGTTCAGATGTCAAAACTGCATGACAGTAGTCCCGTGGTATGGTTAAAGAAAGATTTGTAAGCATACAGGTGGGAAGTTCTGAGATGGGACAGATTTTCTGGGAGGGGGTGCAGAAATAGAAGCAAATCAGTGTATGGAGATGTTTTGTAAATGGTAAGTCCAGTTGGTTTGGAATTTAAAAAAAGTACTTGCAAAGGCCATGGAATCTGAAAGAGGTAGCAAGAGAGCTTGTGTACCTGGGGTGTATCTGTGGAATTGAGCTTTATCAGTATGCCGCATGACAGACAGACAGACATCAGATGATGCTTAGAGAGTACTTAGAGCAAATCAAAACATCAGTGTTGGTGGGGCTACCTCATCTTCTTTTCTGTGGCTCTTCAGCTCTTAGGCATACTGTTGAAGAACTAGGCTTTGATCTTACCTGAGAACTTTTGTTCTCAGCAGCTATAATCACCTTCTCCTGCAAGTAACTTTTGTGGAGGGAGGGGCACCAGAAGGTAGCCTGTTTGGTAATCCCATCCAGAGAGAAGAAAGTGAGGGCTACACAGTTAGCTGCACTTTTAGGAACAAGTCATGATTGGCTGACACATCAGTAAGTGACTCCTGAGTGGTTGTCCTCTTAGCTCTGCTTTTTGTTCAGCTGTTAATTACATGTTTTAAATGTAAAACATTTAATTTTTGTTTCATTTATACTACTGGTTTCTCATTATGCTACTAGTTTATCTTACATTGAACAGAAAGTTTTGTGCTAATATCTGTTCTTTGTAAAAGAAAATCTACTTTGTCCTTGTACTCTGAGTAACTACGTTGAAAATAATGAGGTTAAGTGTGTGCAGATCCAAGCGAGAAGCCTTCATGGACCAGAGCAGCACAGATGTGCAGGGCCCAGCCAGGGCCCAGTCCAGACACCAGCCGCTTCGGGCCACCTGGAAAAGAGCTGCTCAGGTAACAGCCAAAGGCCACCCAGATATCATTTGTAAGTGCACACAGATCCCAGTGAGAAGCCCATGTGGACCAGAGCAGCACAGGTGTGCAGCCAGAAGACTGCTCAGGCACCAGTGAACTCGGGTGCACAGCCCCCACCAAAGGCCCTCCCAGACAACAGCTGTGCAGGTGGGCAGGCCCCAGCCAGAGACATGACCAGATACCATCAGTAAGCATGCATAGGCCCCAGCAAAAACACTGCCTGGACAACAAGGCAGTGCAGGGATCCAGAAGGCCACCGTTCTGAACCCAGGAATTGACACAGTGGTGAGCAGCAGAGAGAAGGCTTCTCTGAGGCTTGCTGAGAATTGAAGCCCACAGGTGAGCAAAAAGTCGCCTCAACAAAGGCACAGCAGGCTGTATCTGTTGAATGAGAATACACGTAAACAAGTTTCAAAACTTGTTTACAACTTGTTTACAAGTCTCAAGACTTCCATATCACCTAAGGCAACCTCAAGGGGCAATGAGATGGAGCAATCTGATCCTCAGCCACCTGGACTCCCTGAACTGGCAGCCAAAGAGAATCTGGAAAAAATGAAATCAGAAATAATTTCTCAGATAACAGAGATTGTGTCCATAGTGCAAGACAGGATTAATAACTCTAGAGCAGACACAGATTAAAAAATAGAGGAGCCGAGGAACATGATGGATACTAGCATAGGAAACAAATGGAATCCATAAAACAGATATCCAGGAGATTAAAAACTCCATTGAAAGTTTATGCAGCAGAATGAGCCAGTGTGAGGACAAAATATGAGACATAGAAAACAGGTTTGCAGTTAGTGACCAGGAAAAGAATAATTTCTTAAAAATAGTAAGGGATCATGAGAAATCAACCCAGCAGCTGCTAGATGATTCAAAGAAGAATAACATAAGACTGATCAGAGTCAATGAAGAAACAGGAGAGAAGGTGCAAATGACATAAAAAACTGTTCACAGAAGTAATGGCAGAAAACTTCCCAAGTAGGAGAAAAGAATTTGACACTGAGGTAAGTGAGGCATATAGGTCTCCAACTAGCTGTGATTAAAACAAAAAAAAACCCCTACACATAGGCATATAATAGTTAAGATTTCAGAAACCCAACAGAAGAACAAAATCCTACAAGCAGTTAGAGAAAAGAAACAAATCACATACAAAGGAAATCCCATCAGAATCATAGCAACTTCTCAACGCAAACCCTCAAGTCAGGAAGAGCCTGGGGTAAAGTATTTCGAGCCCTAAAGGAAAATAACCTCCAACCCAGATTGATGTACTCTGCAAAACTATCTTTCAAAATTGATGGAGAAATAAGATACTTTCATGACAAAGAACACCTGAGGAACTTCATGAATACCAAACCAACTCTCCAAAAAATTTTAAATAGTATCCTAGGAAAAGACAGTGAGGATCACAACCCGAGGAAGCCCAGCAGAATGAATCCTTTGGGCAAGACAAGAAATTAAATGCAAAGGGGGAGAATTCAACAATAGGAAAAGGTTATGACAAGGATAAGTCAGTACATACTAGTTATAACCGTCAATGTTAATGGTCTCAATTCACCATTCAAAAGAAATAGACTGGCAGAGTGGGTCAAGAAGCAAGATCCCACAGTATGCTGCATACAAGAAACACACTTAATTCAAAAAGAAACTCATAGACTGAAAGTTAAATGGTGGAAAACAATACTCCATGCAACAGGAACCTGAAAAAAAGCAGGAGTAGCTATCCTCTTGGCAGATCAAGTGGATTTCAAACCAACATTAATTAAGAGAGGCGAAGAAAGCTACTACATCCTTGTAAAGGGAACAGTCCAAGAGGAAGAGATGACAATCATAAATATATATGCATCAAATACAAGTGCACCCAACTATATGAAGATAATGATATACAGTGTATTAACTATTGTTTTTCTCTTGGTTTGTTGTGGAATTTTGTTTTGTTTCATAAAATAAAACATTCAATTTTATCAAGCACTTACTGTTTAATATACCTAGTTTTTGCACATTGTATGAGATCATGGGAATATAAAAAAGCCATATCCCTACTCTCAAAAAGGTAATCAGAATTGTTGAATAAGTAAATACTTACAGTCCACTAGCTATTGTGACAACTTAGAAAAAGAAAAATAACTTCACTTGGAGGGAAACAGATTAAGGAAGACTATGAAAAGGAAGTGACATTTAAATTGAATGTTAGCATAGTATTTACTGGGTTTAATAAATTGTTGATTTAAAAAGCTTTATTCAAAAACTTACATACAAAATGTTCACATTATAAAATGTATGGCTTATATGAGAAATAGTAAATTAGTTTGGAAATACTGAAAAACATACCCTAAAATTGAGGAATCGTTGATGAAGTACTGTATTGTTAAGTACCAAGCATAGTGTGTAATTGCTTTGCATATGCTATCATTTCATCTTTACAGTGACTCAGTGAGATAGATTATTATCCTTATTTACAGATGAGGAAAACAAATCCTGCAGAAATGATAATAAGTAGTAAATGTCAGGGCATTTCAAGTCCATTCTGGTTTCTAATTGTGTTTTCAGTCAGTATATAAAAAAATCATAGCTTTTAGAGAAGGATTTTGCTTTACTCATCTCTTTATTTTCCTATGTTTAGTTCATTAGAGAGAATTTATCTTTTTATTTAAAGAGACACAAAGGATATTTACTTTTTTTTTTGGTACCGGGAATCGAACTCGGGTCCTTAGCTTGTGAGGCAGTAGGTGGAACCACTGAGCTAAATTCCTGGCCCCATGAAGGATTTTTAAAAGCTCTTTTTCCATCTCCAGAGTTTTTCAAAGATCTGATTATGTAATTTACTATTTTTTAGGATGGCTGATGAAGTGCAAGTAACTTAGTTTTTATTATTCTTTATTTTTCGTTTTTTACTTTTGTGTGTTTTGACATCTTCTCAGAACTCACTCTTTGTGTTTTACCATGAAGAAAATTTTAAAATGTTTTTCTCTTTGTGTTAACTAGACAGGCAGTGGTTAAAGGTTCCCTTCCACATCCTTTTGCATTAACGTTATTTGAGGACACATTGTACTGGACTGACTGGAATACACACTCCATTTTGGCTTGCAGCAAGTACACTGGCGAGGGTCTGCGTGAAATCCATTCTAACATCTTCTCTCCCATGGATATACATGCCTTCAGCCAGCAGAGGCAGCCAAATGGTAAGTGATCTTGATTTTTAAGTTGCAAGTTGGAACAGCCTTGCGCCAGTCTGGTATCTGGCTATAGTGAGGGTCGGGAGGAGAGAGAACATATCGAAAAGTAGTAGGAGGGAATAAAAGAGAGAGAAAACATGGGAATATAATCAGGTTAAGCTATAGCCTAAAATAAACCATTTGTAGCCTTATATTTACTACACACTACCTTTCCTTTTGTTTGGGGCAGGAGCGATAGAGGTAGAGAAAAGAGAAATAAATGAAAAATTGAGGACTTGTTTTTAAAGTTTACACACAAGTGTATTTGTGTGTGTGCATTGGAGTTTGTGTCTTAGACAGTTTTCTCAAATGGAAATTATTTATTCTAGACGGTGAATTTAAGTACCTCAGCTTTCTGAATGAAATGCCAGCTTAAACATTTCCTTGCATCATACTTTCCTCTCCTTTTTTTTTTTAAAGTTTTGCTCTATTTTTAGTCACACTTTACAGTGACTTGGGCTGTGTCAGCTCACAGTGACCTCTTGTAAGAGAGGAATGGAATTAAGTTTAGAAGGAATATGAGAATGTTAAGTGTTTGGCACTTGTGTGTAAATAAATGTCTGGCATGTGTCTGAGTATATTTCAGATTGTGTTCTGTAGCCAAAAATTTTTTTTGGATCGTGTGTTGCTTTGTATTAGCTTTTTCCATCTAGGGGGAGATAATCAAATATTGAATGTGTAATATTGAAATCTGATGATCATGAGCCCGTAAAAATAAAATGTGTTATTTTCTGTCTTGTAAAAAACCAAAATGTTTAATTACTCATGAATTTGTTCTTGTAGCCCTCAGGAGAACATTTTCTCTGTGTGTGTTTTAATTGCACTGTTGATTTCTGTTATACTTCAGAATTTGCAGTTATTTTTGATGTTCCTGTCTTTTTATATCATCTTCTATTGGTTTCCATCTTATGTTGGTTCTTTCTGTGAGTATTGAATATGTCCATCCCACAGTTTCTGTAGATCCGCTAATTATCTTTTCTGCTTTTCCTCTTATTTAATCCATTCTGCTTATCTCCTTCATATTAATCTTTCTAAGGCACAACTTCTCAACATTCTAGTTACTTTTCTTGGCTTTCAGTACTGTCCACCACAGTGTTCCCATCCTTTATGCTCATTCAGGTTTAGTTCCTGTTAGACAATTTCCTTGACTGCACATCTATACTATTCATTTTATCTTACTCAGTGTATGGCTTCTAAGCTTTTATTCATATCCCTTACCACATTTGAAATGTTTCTTTTTTTCCTATCCTTGAGGGCTCCTGTCATGTTCTACAAACTCCATGAAATCTTCGTTTCTTTTTGACTCTATACTTACAGTCTATAATATAATGTGCAGGATATTATTTAGTTTCATTGTTTTGTTTTCTAGTTTTATTGTTAATTTTGGCTTACTGATTAGATTGTGAGCTCTTTTAGGGCAAGGATTTCCTGCTTTGCTCTGTTTGTTCCTCTGTGGATACAAAATGGTCAAGTTAATTCTTGCTGATTAATTCATTTCCTTACAGATGGTTTGGTAGTCAAGCACCTGGATAACATTTGTTAATAATTTTGGTTATCACAGTTGCTCATGTTATGGTTGTTAACCTTTGTGTACCTAGAATGAGGGAGGTCATCCATAATCATTGGTATTAATCAGTGTGATTTATATTTGACAGCTACAAATCCATGTGGAATTGATAATGGTGGTTGTTCTCATTTGTGTTTGATGTCTCCAGTCAAGCCATTTTATCAGTGTGCTTGCCCAACAGGGGTCAAACTTCTGGAGAATGGAAAAACCTGCAAAAATGGTAAGATAATGTTATCCAAGAAGAAAAAACTTTGAGAGCATTTGAGATTTTCTGATTAATTTTGTTTTTCTATAGAAAGCTTTATAGGTTACAGTAGTTTGGGAAATTTGTCACTCAAATGGTTTTGTAGCAGGAATGTTCTATGTTTTCTTTTTTTTGGTACTGGGGATTGAACTCAGGACCTTGCACTTGCAAGGCAGCTAGCGGCACCACTGAGCTGAATCCTTGGCCCCAGGAATGATGTATGTTTTATGACATCTTTTGAATGCTATTTTATAAATTTATTATTTTAAGTCACATGCTCTTTTTGAAAAAAAGTTATGTACTGCTTTTGTTCTCTATCAGCCTTTCATAATCATTGATACCAGAATTGATTAATGTGGAAATGATTATGTCTCATAGAAATACATTTTCATTTATTTATTTAATTTTTAGAAATACATTTTTAACAGCAGGTGGCACTTGTAAATACAGAACCTCTCTGGAGGCAAAGGTGTTTATTAAATTTTAGGCTACAAAGATTATAATGGGATAGATATATTTTCTACCAAGTAACTGAATGATTTTGTGTGTGTGTGTGTGGTTTTTTTGTACCGGGGATCAAATTTAGGACTTTGTGCTTGCGAGGCAGTTGCTGGAACCACTGAGCTAAATCCCGGGCCTAACTGCATGATATTTTTAATTGCTTTCTAATGACACAAGTCCTCTCAGAAGAAGAAAGAGAAGTCCTATGGCACTGCTAAAAGCAACTTCTTTTTATACTAAACCACCGCACTTCGCCTCTTCTCCTTACTCCTAATTCCCTGTAGAGGGAGGGCATGTTGGAGAGGTTTACTGATTTGGGACATTTCAAGGGACTTCTCGTTCAGAAGAACACCAGTTCTCTCTTCTTAATGAGGGTGTTACTCTTCATTCTTACCCCTTGGGATCACTGTCTGGTTCTCTAGCAAGAGGTGGTAAGAAAATTGTTCTATTTAGCAGTGGCTTCTTTAATCTAACTCTGAAAAGCAGAAGCCTTTATTTCAGAGAGTTTTAGAGTGTTCCTGGCATGGAGGTAAGGGAATCAGAGAGATGGAGTCAAGTCCATGTACTGGATATTTGTTGTGACTTGGCATTGATAGATTATCCTCATAGTCAAAGGTGAAGCTGGCTGACTCTTGTCAGATGGTTTCCATGGCAAACAATAATTTGGTTTCAATTTAAAACAAAAGGTTTTTGTAATGTTGCTTTTTTTTTGTTTAAAAATGTAGCCTGATTTTAAAACCGAGGCTTTATTTTAGCAGTAGCGGTCTGTTTTTCATAGTGGTGCAAATGTACATGTTTAACTCGTTTTAGTTTCAGGTGTACATTTGGCAGGTAGAAGCCTTAAGTTAACTATTTTATTTTGATTGCTGTTCAAATTAACAGCTCCATGACTTTGTAAAGTTTCAAATGGTTCCTTTTGACAGTTAGCAGGGGCAGTGAATTGTATAGTTACTTCTAGTTGGTGCTTGCTATGGCATTTTGGGCTGTATTTTCTCCAAGTTAGCGTAAATTTATAATTATAATTAAGCTGATGTTGAGAGACATCATTACTTTTCTTAGTTTTTGCTTCTATACTGTAACTCCAGCTTGATGCTTCAGGTTTATATCCTAAAATTTTTTTTGGCTTATAATTTTTTTCTTGCTCTTTTCAAATGTCAGCCTGCTTACCGTTTATTAGGGTCTTGGGTGATTTTTATGGGAATGATTTACCTGAGCATTAAAAATGAGAAAGATTGAGCTTAAAACTCTAATGCTCAATTATATTTTTATTGAATCTTGATTTGGGTTATAAACATATCATAAACGTGACTGAAAACTCAGTGAAATAAACATTTTAAAATCTGTTTTATAAATAATAGACCAGTTAATTTTAAATGAGTTATTTATATGCTTAATACCTTCCTGAGTTTCTCATTTATCTCCTTTAATTCTCATTGCAACCTTAGGACATTTAGATGAAGAAACTAGGCTTAGAGAGATTTGATATTTTGCCTGTTTGTATAGCTGCTTGAATCAAGTTCTCTTAGATCTACAACTCTTAACTCCTAAGACGTTTTTCTTTTTCTCTCTCCACTGCTGCTATGGGTATTTCCTTCTTTATAGCTTGATTTGTCCTCAGTTGTGTCAAGTATTGCCCTGTATTTTTTTCTGAGACAACTTTACTGAGAACTAATTTATGTACCATAAAATTCTTCCATTTCAGGTGTACTATTTAGTGATTTTTAGTAAATTTACAGGGTTGTGCAACCATTACCACAATCTAATTTTGTAATATTGCCATCAACCACAAAGATTCTTGTCATAGATTTCTGTACCTTTTAAAATATGCTTCTTAAAGAAGGATCTGTACTATATAACACTTTCCTCCTTTCATACTTAGTCATTGTCGATGATTACCTTTAAGTAGCTGTATTAATTCCAGGGGCTGTCTAATAAAAGAAACCAGAAAATGGACAAAACTTGGCTTTAGAGAATTTAGTCAACATAGAGTTTGACTTCATAGTAGACTTTCCCTGTGTGATTGTATTACTTCCCATGACCACTCTAAAGAGAGTTGGGGTGGGTGCTGTGTGTGTATGTATGTGTTCCTAAAGAAGTTCTGCATTTGTATTCTTTACTTTGCCTGTGGCTTTCAAATGATTGCTTCTTTACTTACTTTGTTCTAGGTGCCACTGAATTACTGCTTTTAGCCCGAAGGACAGACTTGAGACGCATTTCTTTGGATACACCAGATTTTACAGACATCGTTCTGCAATTAGAAGACATTCGTCATGCCATTGCCATAGATTATGATCCTGTGGAAGGCTATATCTACTGGACTGACGATGAAGTGAGGGCCATACGCCGCTCCTTCATAGATGGATCTGGCAGTCAGTTTGTGGTCACTGCTCAAATTGCCCATCCTGATGGTATTGCTGTTGACTGGGTTGCACGAAATCTTTACTGGACAGACACTGGCACTGATCGGATAGAAGTGACAAGGCTCAATGGGACCATGAGAAAGATCTTGATTTCAGAAGACTTAGAGGAACCCCGGGCTATTGTGTTAGATCCCATGGTTGGGTAAGATTCTCTGCTAGTAGTAAATCTGTCTGGTGTTTCTGTGTTCCGTAGGTGTCCAAAAACATCAGCTCAGGATGAAGTATGTGCAACTTATGTTGGGTTTTTAATAAACAGCTCTGTAATGGCTGTTCATTGTTAGAATATAGTAATCAGAATAACATCTCAAAGAATTGCCCTTTTTTTTTTTTGCCTATAACATCTTGAATATTTTTCTCTCTAAATGAATTTAATGCATGCTAGCTTGGAGGATTGTCTGCAGATTTTGCTCAGATTGCATAATGACTGTGAAAAATTTGGAAAAACATTTCCAGCACTTTCCCCCTCACCAACAAGATTTTATGTCATATTGTTTCAATACCTATAATATGAATATATCTTACTTCATATTTCTCAAAATACATGAGTAATTTGGCTCTAAAAACCTTGTCAAGCCATGTAGCTTTATTTCGTGTCTTTATTATTTAGCCATATGATCCTGACTATAGTTCAGGGAAACACAGATTTCTACATACGTCTCAATGTTATTGTTACTGTAAGATTTATTCTTATGACAAACATAGTGACAAATCATTATACCTCAGTATGGTATATCTTAGACCCACTTAACCTTCAAAAGCCAAAGGAATCACTGAAGGGAAAATTATTTGAAGAATTCAGTTTGTCATATGAATATTCCTGTCCAGATAATCTTTTGTGTTAAGAGATTAAAAGCCATCGAGAAAGAGAGCAGAAGTTCATGGGAAAAGCACAAAATCTTTTTTTAAAAAATTACAAAAATGAATTGTCACTTGTGAGGCCTTTTTAGGATCAGTTCTAGAAAACATTGATCTAAAAATTTATATCTTGCTATATTATAGATGTCTTAAACATGCTCTTCAGATGTTTAAGTCCTATTTTTCCCCCTTCTGTGGTGTTGTTGATAGCAATGTAATATGTAGGGTGGATCTCACTTTTATTATTATTATTTACTTTTAGCTCATTTTCTATATTCTTTTGTAGGTACATGTATTGGACTGACTGGGGAGAAATCCCGAAAATTGAACGAGCAGCTCTAGATGGCTCTGACCGAGTAGTATTGGTTAATACTTCTCTTGGTTGGCCGAATGGTTTAGCTTTGGATTATGATGAAGGCAAAATATACTGGGGGGATGCCAAAACGGACAAAATTGAGGTTTGTTTCTTGCTTTTTCACTTTAAGACCAGTTTTATGTATTTTTGAGTTGCTAGTAATTTGGTGCAGATATTCTTGCTTTAAACAGCTGCCTGGGGTGCTGGAGAGGTGTCTTTTGTAGAAATTTTACTCAGCCTTTACAATTTGAGAGATAATATTCTCTTGTACCCAGTCCCAGGATTTCTGAGTGATGTTGGTATGAAAAATGGCCTTTTATTTCTAGCCTTGAAAGCTTATTTAAATAATTTTACTCATTTTGGGTATAACTGTGACTTTCCTAGAAGCAGTTTTGGCAAACTAAAATTATGTCATACCTATACTGGAAGAGTATCTGAAAGAGTCCTAAATTAGGAAGAGTATACTGGGAGAGTCCTAAATTAGGAAAACAAAGCCTATGTGTATATCTAACTTTTTTTTTTTTTTTGGTACCGAGGATCAAACTCTGGTCCTTGCCGCTTGCACAGCAGGCGTCGAAACCACTGAGCTAATCCCTGGCCCTGTATATCTAACTTTTGTTGGTACTATTGGTGTTGGAATGAGTAGTAGAATGTATTAAATATTAAGGTGCTTACATATGAACAACTTTTAAGTTAATTTATGAACCCTATGGGAGAAAGCTTGGGAAAAATATTTACCAAGAGGTAGAATTAAAGTTTGTGGCATTCAAATAGAATTATGGTGAAAATAATCAGTAGCATTTTTATTGAGTATGAAGTTTAAATTTCACAACTTTGAATTAAAGCTGTGTCAGTTTTATGGATCATATGCATTAGATAGGATCTTTTTCTTTGAGGAGGGGGTGCTTGACTGCTCATAGAAGGAATAGCTTAGAAACACACTTCAAAGAACCACTGCACACAACTAACGGATAGAAAATTTGAACTCTAGAGCAGTTATTTTAAAAGGTAATTCTGAGAAGCGCCAGGAACTCTGAGGGAATAATGAATTAAGGGGGCTTCCTTCCAGAGTGGAAACTTGGAGTAGGAGAAACCCATTAGTAGTTTACCAGGCACAGATACTGAAATGGCATCTCTTATTCTTGCAGCTGGTTTCCATTAACAAAAAATTTTGTGTAGACTGACTGTATAAAGTTTCTCCCTGTTGTTAGTGTTTCACTTTCCCCCTTTCCCGTTATTAAAATCCAAGCTAATGTTTAAATCTTTAACAGCTGGAGGGCAGTACTAATGAGTCAGAAGTGATGGGTTTGCTTGGAGGTGATAGTTTTCATTTGGATCTGCTTGAGTACAAATTGCCTGCCTAATCGTAGCCAGTTCACAGTTGTATATTGATTAACTATAGACCATACATCACTGTATAGGTGTTGCTTACTCTTAGGAAAACAGTTTAAAGCCAATGTGTCCTAGAAGAATGTCTGTGGCAATGAAATTTACAAAATGGGAGAACACCTGATATATTATCACATAGAGGTCTTTTTTTAGGGAGTCTTAAAAATTCCATATTTCATCTTTAGTTTACTGATTATGTTGAAAATAAAATTAGTGTCCCTTGCTGGGAATGTTTTAAGTCTTTCCCCACAAATTTATTCAAAATTGCAAATAGCTGGAGAGTGGTTCAGATAAAGAAAAGAATTCATGGGGGTTGTGGATGATAGTGTTTGGGAATAAAAATGAATATAAATATAGATTAAATAGAATTTATTTGTAATGAGTGCACATCTTAAAATTAGTATTCCTCTGGCCTCTTTGTTTTGTTTTACTGAGCTATACAAACATATACAATGATGTCATTTTCCCCCCTTACCTCTTCTTTCCTTTTTGCTGAGTGATACCAGCATCCTTCAGCCTACCTTTTAGATTCCTCTTTCTTCCTCTTTCGGCACATAACTTAGGTTTCTTCTTTGCCCTCCTGTTGACAGATTGTTTGGTGTTAGTGGTAAATTTACTTGAAAACTACATAGAAAGACCTGCCTTATTCTTTCCACCGGAAATTCTGATGAGCTTTCACTACATGGGCAGCAGTGCTTTTGTCATTTTCTTTTCACAGAGGAATCTGACAAACAGGGAGAGCAGATATTGATGCTTATTCTCTTCTTATGATGGTAGATGAAATTATTGGTACGTCACAAACTAAGGAAGGAGTACAGCTGCTCACCTAAATTAATCTTGTGTAACTTGAGGAAAATAACTTAATTTTCATGGGAGCAAGTGCCATCTCTCGGATTTAATCTTCTTTTACTTGCTAGTAGTTGAATAATATTGAACTTGAAGACTTTTGGAAAGATATGTAATTTTAAAATGCTTCCTTTTCCAAGAAGTTTATTTAGTAGTTCATTGTTATGTGTGGCTGATCCCTGGTACCGATCTGACTCTGGTCCTGGTGACACGCTCCTTTCTAGTCACATACTCCTGAGGAAGCTTCCTTGCTCTGTCATGTCCCCAAATGGGAGCTGCTTTTTCCTGGGACTGAATATTAACCTATTCATGCTGAAGATTGCAAGTTTTTGAGTTTTTGCGTGAAATTCCTATGTGTTACATAGAAAAACTTAAGGAGCAAGAATTTGAAAAGAAAATATTTTATGTTCTATTGTTTTGGGTATTTCAAAAATGGAACACTAGTTATAGAAGGACTAAGTTATGGTTGTGATAGCTATGTTCGCTTCTGGATTGAGAGTTTAGTTGAGATCAAACTGTCCTCTATGTTTTAATAGTACATTTAGGAAGAAAAGATAGTTATTTGGAAAATTATAATGTGGCAATATAAGACAAAATAAGCTCTTGTGGTTTGATTGGAGAGCATGGGAAGCACTCAGAATACTCATTTACTCATTAGGCTGTCATTCCCTCAATGGGGATACCTTACATCAGTATCTCACTTCCTTTTTTTTTTAATTGGTGATATGGCCAGATGCTGGGTGTGATAGGGGGCTGGGTCCAAGAATTAGGGAAACCAGGGAGAAGGAATGGGGAACCCTGGGGTTTGGGATTTGATTTATTTTAAATTGTATCAAGTTGGAGAAAGAATGAATAGATTTACCTCAAGTTTAAAATCAACTTCTGAAAAGAGGTATAGGACATAGGGGGCGTTGTTAGTGATGTCACTTTTCCCCCCTAGTTTTATTTTTTTAATAGTAAAACATCAGTACATTTTAGGCATACATAATGATAACACTCATTGTAGGCAATCTGCACCTGTATATGATACATCCTTTCTTTTCTTTTTTCCCCTCCCCCTTCCCTAAAAACCCCTCCCCTCCTGTGTGCAAAAGCTTTGTTTCCACTGTTTCCTTTTATTTTCTTTTTTTCTTATCCCTTTCTTCCTCCCACCTCCCTTGTTCCCCTTCCCATTTGAACATTTTCTTCCTGTTTCCCAGTATCTATTGTACATTTTAGTCCTTGTTTCTGCTTTTGGTTTCTCACCGGAGAAACAATGCCATATTTAAATATGTGTGTCTGATTTATTTCACTTAAGAATATGGTCTCAAGGTCCATCCATTTAGTGAGAAATATCTCACGCTCATCCTTCTTTGTGGCAAGATAGTACTCCATTTTATGAAAAAACAAACAAACCACATCTTCTTTATCCAAAAAAACAAACAAACCACATCTTCTTTATCCAGTCACCAGTTGATGGGCATTGGGCTGTTTCCAAGATTTAGCTGTTACAAACTGTGATGCTATAAACCTGAGTGTGCATATATCGCTGTGGTGTGATGCTTTTAATTCTCTCGGAAAGATACCAAGAAGGGGAATAGCTGGGTCAAATGGAACCTCTAGCTTTAGGTTTTTGAGAAATCTCCAGGTGATTTCCACACTGGTTGCACCAGCCTACACTCCCTACAGTGGAGAAGGGTTCCTTTTTCCCCACAGCCCCGCCAGCATTTGTTATTGGTAAGCAGTATTGAGTCACTTTTTTAAAAAGATAGTGGCATTGGCTGCTGCTTTAATAGAGAAATGTGTATGTGAGAGTAAGTCTGCTTTCTCTACTTGCGAGGTGATAGTGGCTACTTATCTTTCAGTGTTATTTAAAAAGTATTTGCTGGTACTTGTTTATGTTTCTTATTATGCTAAAATGATTTCACTGCCTTTTATGTACAGACTTTCTTGTTTACTTGTCTACACCACGTTTTTATAGTTTTTACCAGTGTTCCAGGGCTCCTGGTAGAGGAAGTATCCAGAAGCCTTTGTTTATATTTTGCATGATCCTGCAATAGGCAGAATTACTTTGTATTTTAACACTGTCACTTTTCTTGTTCAGGTTCATTGCCAGATACATCTGTTACACCTAGGGACTGCAATACTGCTTACCAATAGCAAGACCATGTTATTGCTAATTTGAAATTTAAAGTATTCCTTGCCCTGATAAAAATTTAAGACTGTACTCTTAGCTAATATTTTCTTGTGGATGCTTTTCTCATTATATTCAGTTTAACTGAAACAGTTAGTGTGTTTTAAACATTGGTTGTATTAAAATAATGAACTATCATAAATACATTTTCCTTTGTTCTCCATGCTTCTTATTTGAGTCCCTCCCCCATTTATTTATTTTCTTTGAGACTGGGTCTTGTATGTAGTTCAGGGTGGCTTTGAACTTACTGTGTAACCCAGACTGGCCTCAAACTGGCGGCAGTCCTCCTGTCTCAGCCTCCTAAGTGTTGGGATTACAGGCGTGTACCACCATACCTGGCTCTACCACTTCCTATTTCTTTGTTTTTTTTCTTTTTCATTTTTCTTACCCCATATTTCTGAGCTTCCTGCTGACGGTACAGCAATACCTGGTAGTTACAAGTAAAAAAAAATCTTTTCTTGCCTACTTTAAGAACATGTAGCTTTGTTTGAAATCTCTTAGAGCAAATTCCCTTACTTCAGAGAATACAATATCAGTAGATTTGAAATCCAGTTATATATACATGGCACAACTTTGTTGGGAAGCAGAAATGGAGATTATCAGAACTTTTAGTACCAAGAAATTTTGGATAAAGAGGGTATTATTGTATGGTATGTGCTGAAAACTTGGCATTTGGTGAATGTTCTGTTTCATAT